CGCCCTCCTCCAATCGCAGTCGACCCCAGCCGACCGTCGACTGTCGTCCACACCCGCAGAACACCGTCGATCACCGCCAATTGTCGTTGATTGCCATCGGCTATTGTCAACCGCTGTCAACAACCACCAACCCTCATCGAGCACTACTCTCGCTCTTAACCACCATCAATCGTCCACTGTCTATCGTCGATTGCTACTAATTTTTGTTGACCACCATCAACCGGAAGCTGTCAGTCGACCACTGTCTATCGTCGATTGCCACTAATTTTTGTTGACCACCATCAACCGGAAGCCGTCAGTCGACATTGTAATTTGGAAAAACAAATAACCCTTTTCTTTTCCGTTTGTGGGACAAGAGGAGCTTACAATCATCAACATATAGTGAATTTCTTATAATTGAGTGAGACCCCATGATTTTTTTACTTTTATGGGTTTTTTCACATAAAAACTTCTGGTGTCAATATTGATTTTTTTTTTTTTTTGCATGAGTTTGTGCTGAAATTTCGTACAATGCTAAAACGATAATCCATTGCTCTACTACCGTGAATTTTCTAACACGCATCAGTTTGATGAGTATTATTTTTAAAAAATCTAATTGCCTACATTACAATTAAATTTATTAGCTAAAAAATAGAATATAAAAATTATATTAAATTATATTTAAATGAGGTTTAAATATAAATAATAAGATTTGAATTTCATCATAATCATTAACATCGAACGATTGCTTGATTAGGGTAGTTAAACCGACTATTTGTTTGCAAACAGCTCGTGTTGGACATGTTCGTCTTCCTAAGTAAACGAGTGGAACACAAATACATTTTTTTGTTCGAATTATAAAAGACAAACACGAATAATAATAATTTTTTATGAGCCAAACACTAGCGAGCCTCCTTACACCCCTATTTAACTAATTTTAAAATAGGTTTAATAAAATTTAAAAACTCATTTTAAATACATGCTTTTTAATATCCTGAAATTCAATCTTCACTTTACCACATTCGCACATTCTAACGAAGAAACCCCGCAGTCCAGCAGTGAAGGAGCCTGTGTCTCTCTCTCTCTCTCTCTCTCTCTCTCTCTCTCTCTCTCTCTCTCTCTCTCTCTCTCTCTCTCTCTCTCTCAGCTCTCTCGTGAGTTTGAAAGTCTTTCGGACACATTTGGAAGGTAAAACGGATGTCGAATCCAACAAGTTTATAGTCGAATCGAGCGTCTCGACAAGACGAATCCAACGAGCCCAAAATTGGTCAATTCTGACAACTTTAAGTCATTCAAACGTTTATTTGATCGAATGAAGTTATTTAGACCGTCCGATCAAGTGGTTTGTATTACTACATTAATTGCACCCAGAACACTATATAGAGGCCGCCCCTCTAATGAGAGTGGCCGGAGGCTTGAAAAATAACTTAAAGCTTTGAGAAAGAGTTGAAGTCCATCACCACCCCTGTCACCGTCGATCGGCGTTGGCTGACGTCAACCACTGCTGATAGTCGTCGGCCACCTTCGCCCTTCGACCGCCGGCGAACCCCACCGATCGCAGTCGACCCCAGCCGACCGTCGACCGTCGTCAACACGCAGAACACTGTCGAAAACCGCCGA